AATTTTGTGACCACAACCAAATCAAATGCTTGCCTGAAAACAAAATCCCTCCCAATTCTTATGGGGTTCTTCGACACATCAACAAAATCAGGCTTTTCTTCACCAACGAGTGCGACACTTCAACAAAAAATAGAATATTGATGTCGATAGTGGCACGTTGACGTTACCACAAGTAGTGGCAACAAGCAGAAGAAGACCTGCATCCGCATAAAATCGGAAGAAAATGTTTGTGTGCGAGTGAAGAAAGCAAACAAATCAAATATGTGTGTACATATATATATGTATGTGTGTGTGCGTAAGTGTGGAATTACCATAAGACACTGGGAAAAGTGCTGTGGCAACCGAAATAACACACACGCAACATGTGTGGCAGTCATCTGAGGAGAACGTGACGTTGAGTACATGGCTAACTGCATTTTGATTTAGTTTTGTTGCAAGTGTGGAGGCATTGAATGGCTGACTGGCGCACTTACAGGGTACACCTTCAATAAGCGAATCAAGGCTGCGTATATGTGTGTTCAAATATATATATGTGCATGCGTGTGTGTACTCAGGCGTGTAAGCAAATCAATGCCACTGCGTTGATGGGTTTTATCGGTAACCAGCGAGCAGCAGCTACAGCTGGCAGCGAAGGTGGTGCTGAAGATGTCGTTGGTGAGCAGCGCGTCGACGTTGGCATCGATGACTGACATTGACAGTGTCCACAGCGCCGCTCCTTCAAGCGTTGCATACAAATATATATATGTTTGCATGTTTGTATGTATAGAGAATTATAATGTTGCAACGTCAGCATTGTGTTTGATTTTGGTTTTTGTTTGCACTTCTTACTTTGTTGTATGTGTTTATTATACCCTGGACAGGGTATATTAAGTTTGACACAAAGTTTGTAACACCCAGAAGAAAACGTTGAAAACCTTCTAAAATATATATAATAGTAATTTATAACTGATCAGCGTGATAAGTTGAGTCGATTTGCCATGTCCGTCTGTCTGTCTGGCTGTATATACACGTACTAGTTCCTCGGTTTTGGAGATATCGATCCGAAATTTTACACACGTTCTTTTCTTTACAGTAAGCTGGTCACGTGTCGGAATTGCCGATATCGGGCCACTACAGCATATAGCTGCCATGCAAACTGACCGAAATCAAGATAAAGATCTTTTTATACCATTTCATGTTATAAAAAATTACCTGTGAAAGGTATTATAGCTATATATATATATATATAGGTGCAGCCGATGTAAAGGTTTTTTTTTATTGTTATTCGTATTCTTGCTTCAGCTACTGCTGGTACAATCTATGCGTCGGATTATCCTAATGTAGGCTATTCATGTGTGTGTGTGTGTGTTCAAACGGTCTAACGGCCTGTCGTCTGCCTGCCCACGTTTGCCTTGATTCATTGTTGATGTTGAACAGATGGACTGTTGTTGTTATTGCATTTAATATTGTTGTTGTTGGAATCATAATTGTTGTTGTTATTGCTGCTGCTATTTTGGTTGGCTTGCCGCCGGCAGGCATTGATTGCTATTCACTTCCTTGTACTACACACCAACGCACATTACACTCAAACGGTGTACCTACGTATAGCTGGCGTGTGTACTTAGCCACAAGGAAGGAATGGGCCTCTCTACATTGTAGGCTTTCTATTATGGCTCTTCATGTACTGCCTTCAGTTGCATATTGCACGTGCCTTAGTGAACATATTCGATACTAGACTAGCTAATAGCCAGCTATAACGGTTTGCCGCGTGCAAATATTCGCTTACCTACAAACGCGAGCGTGTGATGTAGCAATAACTGAAAATAACAACAACAACAAGCAATAAAAAAAACAGTTTTAACACCGAAAATCAATTTGCCATTGAAATTGTGCATTTTATAGCCATTTACGGCTGGCGAATTGCTTTTGAGTGTGAAAACTTGTTCGCATTGAGTTGTCGCCGCAGCAGCGGCATAATGGTCGCCGGCGATGGAAGCACTCTTATTGTGCAGAATACGCACCTAAAGCAATCACTGGCGGTAAGCGGGGTTAAAAGCGAGTTGTGAAGTGTTTTTGCTTTAAAATTGTTTTATAAAATTTATTCTTTGAAAGAATAAAGAATTTTTTTTTAGAAACTTCTTTAAATTAAAATTTCTAAGTTCATCGCTGGCGTTAAGCGGGGGTGAAAGAGAGTTACTAGATGTTGTTGAAATTAGTTTTATAAAAAAAAAATTGTAATAAAAAAATGTTGAAAAAAATATATTTTTTAAAAAATAAAATTTTTGGAAAAATTTATGTTTCGTAAAATTTTCTTTTTTTAATTTTTTTTAGTTTTCTGTTTTAAGTTTTTTTTTTTAATTTAACAGTTTTTATATTTTGTTCAATTTCTTAAATTTTGTATTACCATTTTATTTTATTAACTTCTACCGGAAAAAGTTTTACATTGTACGCCTATTTCTTGTTTTTTTTTTTTTTGTAATAGAAACGGAAATAAAAATATTTTAATATTTAAAAATTCTAAAATATTTAAATTTCAAAATGTCTATAAAAAAATAAAATTTCTATACGAAAATTTAAATATTTGAAAATTCGGAAATATTTAAATTTTCTATAAAAAAATCGATTTTTTGAAATTCGAAAAATATTAAATCTTAATTTTTATATACAAAATTTTTTAAATTAAATTTTTCTTATAAATGATTTGCTCTACAAATTTTGATTTAATATATATTTAAAGTTTTGTGTAAAAATCACTTAAAAACTGGCTAAACACGTTTTTTGGACAAACGTTAGACTAATTCAAGAAAACAATAATAATCAATTCGTTTTTAAGAAACTAAAAAGTGCATGGGTCAACATTCTAAAGCGTTCTAATGTGTTTATATACATTTCTTCAGCGCCACATAAACATACATATATCCATATGTGCATATGTATATACATCTTCAACCGTCAAAATCTTTGAAAAATCTATTCGAAAGTGCAACTCACGTTGCAAACATGTGTTTCCGGGTTCAATAAACTGCTGAGAAAAATGCTGAGCATTACATTGAATTTCAATCGCACTGACAAATACACATATATATGTATATATATGTATGCATATGTGTGCTTACTAAATCTTAAAATATTTATCCTTTTCGCTTTCGACGCTCAGCACTCGGTCACTGTGTTTTTTGTTTGCATTCAATTTTTGTTGTTTGCTCACAATTTTTTTTTTGCTTTTTGTTTACTTTCTTCTTATCTGCTGATTGTACAAGTGTTTTGTGCTACGTTTGCTTTTACAAATCTATTTCGACTGACCAAGTGACTTGGTTATTTACATTAATGTATTTATGTGTGTGGAAACATGCTTGCTCTCTATACACTGCATCGGAAAAGTACGCGTACAATGTAACACTTTGGTTCTACCACCCAAATTACGCTAATTTAACTATTTTACATTAATTGAACTACAAAATTAAACAAAAGCAAATAAAATTAAAATAATTAAACAAAATATTTAAATTCATTTACAAATTTTAAAAATTAAAAAAAATTAAAAAATCACAGAAAAACCAAAATTAGAAATTGGAAAAAAATTAGAAATTATAAAACAAATTTAATAAAATAATAATTAGAAAAAAACTTTAACTAAGTATTGAGCTTCAAAATTTTAATTCCTGAACTAAGATAGATTTTAATAAGAAAATAGTTATAATAAAATTGCAAAATTAAAAATAAATTTCTAAAGTTAAAAAAAAAAAAAAAAAATTAAAACACAAAAGAAAAAACAAAATTAGAAATTGGAAAAAAACTAAAAATTTATAAAAAAACAACTGTAGAAAAAAATTTTTATATTGTAAAATAATAATTATGTAGAAAAAAAATTTTATTAATAGTATAATTTATTCAATTAGACAAAATTTAACATTAATTCATAAACTGAGATAGATTTCAATCAAAAAAAGTTATAAATGGATTTAAAACAATTTTTATTTGTATTTTTGTTTTTACTTTAAAAAATTTCACTTAAATTAAACAAAAATTTATAAGAAAAATTAATTAATTAACTAGTATATGATTTTTTCAGTTTCCAAATTGAAACAAATATGAATTTAAAATTTTTTAAAGTAATTTTTTTTAAATAATTTTTTTTTGTATATTTGTTTTTTAAAAAGATGGGGAAGACGAGTTCTATTTTATTGATGCATTCTACAACAAGCCAATGAAAAAATAACAGTTTTTAACCTTGAAGATATGTTAATACTAAAAAAGAATAAGCTTCTCGCTCATGTTCTAATTCTATTAAAAACGCTAGACGTTTCGAATTAAAAAACCAACTAACCTTTAAATATCAGTTTTTAAATCGTTGTGGTATACAATAATTATAGTCTAGAAATGGGTATTTAAAACAGTCTTTTGATTTCCTCAGATCAAGTCCGTCAAATCGAATATCACTTAACTAAGTACTTAACCTCCGAATTGAAATGTTGTATGCTTTCAATTTTCCCTAAAGTATGAGTCACCAAACAAAGTAAACGATTTTTTCCATTTTTACTCTTTAGCCAAACATTTAAGTTCTGAAAGTTTTACGATTTCCTAAAACCCAGCCAATCAAACCTAGGCATACTTTAACCACATCACCTCAAAATGTATATTTCCAACTTCAACTTTTGCAACAATAATTTTAGTACACAGACAAATGGACACTTAAAACAGTCTTACGATTTCTTAAGACCACACCAAGTTAGCCAACAATAAATAAAGAAATTTTAAACGAACCAAAAAGAGTTAAATTCGAAATAAAAAAATGAAAATGATTGACTTTAAACAAAATCCGTTTAAAATGAAAATCAAACCGCTGAGTAATGGCGAGAATCGCGCAGGACGCAGCTGTTTGCGAGCACGTCTCGTTTTTCGCTGGAAGACTTGGGTACAAAACTCACCACTAACCCACCAGAAATACACCACTACCATCTACAAAAATTTTAATTTAACTGAAAATTAATTGCTTACCCTCACTTTTGCACTCTTTTCAGGCTGAGCTCTCCGATGTGCTGCGCAAACGCAATCGTCATCGTCAGGATGCTTCCGAAGAAGATTTGGGACTGCCACGCAGTCCAGCTTCACCACAACGGCGCGTTGAACGCACGACACAACGCACTCAACACGCCAACAGCAAGCACACAACTACAGCCACATCTTCTACCGCCACCACGACTGGCGGCAATCACAGTGAGGTGTCCTCGTTGAGTTTGCTGAGCATGAATAGTGGTGATGGCGATGAGCTATTCACCGCATCCACCGCAAATAATTCCACAATTAGCACCAAAGAATTTTTGCAGGAACGTTCGATGACAACAACATCCTCTACGGTAAGTGGACGTAGCATAACTCGCTCTTCCACTGTGTCGGCCACATCGGTGTCCTCGGAGATTTATCGACACTCGTCGAGCGGCAGTTTGGCAAGCGACACGAACAGAGACGAACCGGATTTGTTGGGTGCGAAGTGTCAACGTCTTTCACATTCGGCCGCCAAGCATAAAATGGCTTTACGTCCGGCTAAGAAGAAGGGACCGAGTCGTCTGCACCGGCGTACGCTGGAGGTGAGTGGTGTTAGTGAAGCATAGAGTATAGAGTATGATATATCACTACCGAGTGGGTCGAAATCGGTTCGTGAAGTTAGGTGTGAAATCTTTTTATAAATTAGATCGATCTCCTTTCGTCTGTTAGACTAAGTACGCACTTTAGCTGAACATAAAAACACTTGGTACCAAATAGAGATCGGATAGGTTAATAATATTAGAATTTCCGAACTATTTTTATGCGATATGTGATAAGTTCCAAACATCTCGAAGAAGTGTTCCAAAATATTCGGGCTGTGAGAGTATCGAAAGTTCGATAGAGTTCGGGCTTAACTTTTCTCTACTTTTTATATACCATATATGTTTGAAACCCCCTACTTTATTTTCTACAGACCTCAATACCGGAAGCCAATGAAGATAGCCTGAGGTTGGCTAGTAACCATATGCTGGACATAGCAGGTAAGGTTTTGTTGAAGACTTCTTTGAATTCAGAGAATAATGTTTGCAAAATTCCTACAGAACACGACATCAAAGCCAAAACACGCTCTCTACCGCCTAGCGTCAATACTAAAGTATTAGATCAACATGCTATTGAACCGAAAAATGTGGCATCACCTTCGAAATCGAAAACGAAATCTTCAAATGCCAGCAATGAGCAAACAATAAACGTTAAACGCTCGAAAATCGAGAAACATGAAAAAAGTAATGATGGTGGCAAACTCACCACTAACAAAACAACAATCCCCACCTCTAGCAGCAGCAGCAGCAGCGGTTCCATATCGGCTGCCACCAATCTATTTGGCTTGCGCACGTTAACAGCGAAAGCAACGGCGCTCTTTGAGCCACCACAGGAGTCGTCTACCGATCCAACACCCAGTGAGCAGGAGTTGAAGAGAGAGAAAGAACGCGAGAAACTCAAGGAGAAGGAGAAAATGAAGGAGAAGGATGCCACAAGCTCACAAATGGACACCGCAGAAAGTGGCTTCCTACGACGACTCATACAACGCAATTCGAAGCGTTCCGCCTCGCGCAACAACAACAGTAGCAGCAACACTCAGAACAGCGTACCGCCCGAAGAGGAAAAAATGGTTGTAAGCCAAAGCGAAACGGATGCCAAATCTAAAATGCATGTCTCCACTTCATGTTTGGATATGAAGCCGACACCCGACTCCAGTTTGACCAAATTAGATAAATCACGTAGCGCTTTGAGTTACGAACAAAATATTGAGGAGACACGTAAGGATATTAAACGCGAAATTATGTCTGTCGGCAGCACCGGTTTAAATGCCATGCTGAACGCACATAATTTGACAGCACACAATAACAGCATCAGCAGCATAAAGGATGCCGTCGCAGCAACCACGCCACCGAAACCGAAATCGGGCGCGGCAGCACGCCAACGCTATATGCCGCAGGACATCGGCTCGCTGGAACGCAAGGTGACAACAAGCACCAATATGACAGCGAACGACTCGTATGCCAGCAGCACGAGCAGTCTACTCTCCAAATGCTCACAGCAAGAGATATTCCAATCCACTTCGATTATACGTGAAATTACCGCCTCGCAAACGTCCAGTGTCAATTCGTTGAGCAGCGTAAGCAAATTGTCCGAGCATCACTACGAAAAGAAACCGAAAATAGTTGGACTCAGCGCTTTTCAGCAGAAGATCTCACGCTCCAACGATTCGGTGGTACGCTACGCCGCCAGCAATGGCAGTAACGCGCACTCCACCAACTCGCTGGACGCCGCTGACGAAACGCACGCGTTCAGCAGTCAAGAACAGAAGCAACGTAAAGTTGTGGAGAAATCGCGCAGTTTTCGTACATACCAAGAGGAGGCGTACGCCACGCCCACCGCGATGCACAACAACATGCCCAGTTTGCCCGATTTGACGTTGAATTTGCGCGTGCCCTACAATGATTACACACAGAACGCCAAGGATAATGCCGACACTGGCGCTTCGGGTATAGAAACGCAGGGCGATAAGGCGACGCGCGCCACCACACCGCTCACAGCGTCTGCAGGCAATTTAACTGCTACGAGCAGCAGTTATAATTTTACAAAAAATATTGCGGTAAAGAGTTCGCCAACCAAAATGGTCGCGCCCACGCCGAACAGCGCAAGCGCGCAAGACGAATCCAACAACGGTAATTTACTTGTAAAATCACCATTCATCAACGTATTGCGCAAACCAACGAGCACCACCAGTTTGGAGGAGAAACCTGTTGTGGTTACTGTGAGCGCCGCCAGCAGCAATCGAAAATCTGTTGAGCAGATTAACGCGCCCAAGGCATTGCCCATTTCGCTCATCACTGTGGTGCCGCCAAGAGCAGAAGTGTTGAAGGCCGAGCAGCAGCTGCGTCCGAAAGTCTTGCATTTGCGGGATTCGAATGCGAGCCTTGACACGTCCACCTCCACGGACGACCTGAAGCTTACACCCACTACAGCGGCGGTGCCGTTGCGCGAAAAGGCCAAGCTGAAGACTAACGTTGCGGTGGCTAATGTACGTAATTCCATGGATATTTTAGCAGCAAATGCCAAAGATGTGGAGCGCAAGTCAGCGCCAGCACAGGTGGTGCAGAGCGCCAAGACGCAAAGCGTCAAGACGACGCGCCGCAGCACTAGCTTGTTGGACAGCCCGCCAGCGCAAAACCAAAATGGTAATGAGGAGCGCGGCGGCGCAATAAAGGTGAGTTTGACTTGTATTTAATATATTTAAGTATTTTGTAATTAATATTTTCTTTCACAGTTGCATGAATCAACAAGCGGCAGCAGCACGCCAAACGAAGATGGCGTGCCGGAGTTCATGCGCATACAGTTGAATCGCGTTGATCCTGCGCGCATTGCTAAGAGCGCAAATGTGGTGCTGGCCAAAAATGTGCGCGAAGTACAAGCGCCAACTCAACAACAACAATCAGAACCACAGCAGGTGCAACAAGAGAAGCCGCAGCAGCAGAAACAGCAACAACAAGTGTCCAAAGGGGCGAACAACGAGCGCAATACTAATTTGGAAGAGCTCAGCTTGCACCGCTTAAGTAACGAGAGTGTGGAGATTATCGAGAAGCCCTCACCCAAAGAAGCCGACAAGCAGAAACCTATATTTGATATGAGCCAAAATCAGAGCAGCAGTAACAATAACATTAAATCGCCAACTAAAATGCATTTGGTTGTAAGCGCGCTGCCGCCAAGAAGTCCTGTGAAGAAACAACAAGCGATTGTTACGCTTTCACCAACAACACCAACAACGCCGACAACCGACGTCGATGAAAGCCCTTTGCTGCGCATGAAAACGCCAGATACGCCAGTCGACGCGGCAACGCTGAGCAGCAAGAAATTATCATTGCAAGAGCGCAAGCGTTTATTTATGAGCGAGGAGAAATTGAAGACGGACAAACGCATTGAAGAGTTGCGCAATGAGCGCAAAAAGTCCATTACAGAAGAAGTCTATCGCAAATCATTTGCCAAATCGGAGGAGAAATTAGAGACAAGCGAAAAAGCAGCATGCGACAATGTGGTGATGATGCGCAAGAAGTCCTTTTGCGCCACCACGCAAGCGTGCGCGCCAACCAACGGCAATCGCGATGATGCAACGCCGGAACTGATGAAAGTTTTCGCGCGGCGTTCATTGAAAATTAAAGATGAGGACATCAATGCGCTTGCCGACAAAATACACGTCAGCGGCAGCGTTAGCGGTAGCGGCAGCAGCGCAAAGAAATTCGTTGCGACACAGCAGAATGTCGACAGCGACAAAGAGAATCAGTCGGCGAGCGAGGAGAAACTCGACAAGTTGCCCAAATTGGAGGCGTCACTTGAACTACAGAACGGCAAATTGACGAATGGTGTCAATAATCGCAATTCGCTAGCAGATTTCCGCACGAAAAGCGTTGTTGGCGGCGCGCCGCATACGAATGGCTTAAGCGTGAATAACAACAATAATAATAATAACAACAACAGTCACACTGCCGCAAATAACAGTAATAACAGCACCACCGGCGCACATAGCGTTAACAATACCACCGTCAACAATGTCAACAACAGCAACAATAGCATCAGCGGCGGCGGTGGCGTCAACAATCGCAGCTTCCAGCCGCCCATCAAAGTCGCCGGCTTTCGCGCCACACCCATCGAGCGCAATAACAGCGTTAGTAAAATCTTTCCGACCACTGCGTGTGAAACTCTAAACAACAACAATAATAATAATAGCAACAACAACAATTTAAATAATAACAATCACCATCAGCAACATCAGCAGCAAAATGGCAAAGCACACGAGCGGCAATCGTTGAATATTAAAGCGCTTGAGAGCAACAGCAGCGGCAGCAGTAGCAGCATGAATAGTTCGACAAGCAACAGCAGCGCGCTTAGCAAAACAATTGAGCGCTCGGCAACGGTTAGCGAATTTAAGGGTATACATCAGCGGCGCGCCGAATGGGAGCAACGCGCCAAGGAGGCGCTGAAGTAAGCGTAGAAAACGGAATGGAATCACGCTTAGAAGCAGTGTTGCTTAGGCAGCAACTGAGGCGGCGCACGAACTGTACGAATGGGAAAAATTTGACAGTGACTTGGCGCATGCGCATGTTTTCGAGCTTGTTTGCATTTTCTGCAGCGTTTAAGAACTAAGTTTTAATGCATCTTTCTTTTTCAAACAAAATTATGCCGTAAAGTTGTAAATGTTACTAACAAAATCTAATATAAGCAAAGAAAAAATACTAAAATGCTAAGAAATATGTATGAAATTTTCTAAGTGGTCATTGGTGAGTTGCGAGGTAAGCAAAAGCAGTGAGAAAGGTGAAAAAGTGCGAGCGTAAGGCGTGGTCAACTCTTAAATTGCAAAATTAGGAAAGTTACTCGAGCATATATTTAAATGTAAATGTTTAGACGTGAAAATCGTGTTGAAAATTATTGAAATGAGCAACAGTTATTGAGAAAGCGCTTAGACAGATGTGCGTGCGGGAACAGTATAGTGTTGTTAGAACATAGTGAAATTAGCTTAGCATACAGTGAAATAGTGTTACGGATAGCGAAATCATTGCAGGTTGATCGAATTTATTTTTGAAATTTTAATTTCGAATTTTCATAGAATTTTTATTTATACACTTCTTTCCACGTAATAGATTTTTGACTAAAAAATTATAATCTCAAAATTTTATTTATAGTTTTTTTCTTTTTAGTATGGTAGATTCTTGACTAAACATTTTTAATTTCGACTTTTATAGATTCTTGTTTTTGTAATAGATGTTTGAATAAAAAAAATTTAAACTCAAAATTTATAGATTTTTTTCTTCGTAGTCTGCTAGATTTTTGAATAAAAATTTCAATTTCGAATTTTTATAGAATGTTTTTTTACCAAAAAATTGTGTCGTTTTGAAATTTATTTTTGGAAAACTTATAAAATTTTGCAGTATTATGTAAGACCTGCAATGAGCTTTAAGGATATTTCTGTTCATCAAAACAACAAAAAATGTTTTATTAATGGTTTTTCATATATCTGCAGACTTAATACACATTTTTAACCTCAAAATTTAAGAATTGTAGCGGAACCAAACAAACATCTAAAACTCAAACATAAAAAACTAAAATAAAAAATTTACTGGAAAATTTTAAAATTTTCTTCGAAAGTAATAAATTGTAAAACCCACAAATTTATAAAAACATCATTTACTGATAAAATGTATGTAATATTGACCATTTTAAAATAATCGTGCAAAATTTTTGAAATATTATGTAAACTCAAAGAAAGGCTTTCCGTCAAAAAATCATTACAAAATTTCATCTTATATTTTCCCACTCAAATTGCCGTCAAAGAAATTTAAAAAAATTATTTAAAAAGAATTTTGCGTTTCCAAGTTGTTTAAAATTATTTTTCCTATTGTTATACAAAAAAAAAAAATCAAAATAAAATTATACATCTCTTCATTTTTTAAAATTTTTTTTTCTTATTTTTAATAAAAAAAAAAAACAATTTTTATAAAATTATAGATTTTACAATTTTTTTTTTTGCATTACCAGCAGTAGTATTAAATTTCGATGTCTCTATCAAACCTATCTAAATGCGATTCAAAATCGAGTATACTATTACATATACATACATATATACATACATATGTAGTTATAGAATCAATGAATGTGTTAGTAGCAAACAAAGTGCTTTTTTAGAAGCTTTAGCAAAGGGTGTTAGATTGTGTAGTTGTAATAGAGTAAATATGTGGAAAAATTAAAAACAATTATTTTCATAAAAAATTATATATATTTTTTCAAAACTTCTTGATTTAATATTTTTAAATAAATATTTTTTTATTTTAATATTACTTTATTAACAGAAAATATAAGTTTTGCTTACTATTGTTGCACCCTGTACATGCGAGGAATTGTAATTAAAATTTATTTTTTGTTTAAAGAAAGTTTCGTTGCACTTTGCAAGTGTAAGTTTTTAATTTTTTGAATAAATACGAAAATCTTGCATTTGTATTGTTGCCACTTTTTGAATTTATTTTGAAAAGTATTAATCGAGTAACAAAACATTACGTTAAAGTACGAGTAAAATTCGCACACCTTTTGTATTACCTTTTATTATATTTTTTTTATAGTTTTTTTGTACCCTAAATTTTTGTTAAAAAATATTATAAAAAATTACTATACAAAATTATTATAAAAAATTATTCTACAAAATTATTAAAAAAAATTATTATACAAAATTTTAATAAAAAAATTTTATAAAAAATTATTATAATCAATCCAAAATCGGCAACTTTTGTTCACACCCTATTTCTAAAGCATTTTAGTATTGATAATTTATGCTTAGTTAAACCCATGACTCGCCGCTCTCCTATATTATACTAACCACTCTCATACGCACTCTGTTTTGTATACTTTCTTGTGCTAAATTATAAAAGTTTTAGTTTTTAATTCTGCATAATTAGAAAGTTTAAAATTTTTATTTGTTTGGTTCCAACTTTTGTATTAAACATTTACGTTTATTTCTTAGTATTAAATATAGTGCTATTCGTTTTTGTTAAAAAAATATTAAACTTTTTTTAAATTTCTTTATATTTTTTTTTTTGAATATCTTAAAATTTTTTTTTGTATAAAAAGCTAATTTTCAAGCTAAAAAAAATTTTGAGTTTTTATTAAAAATTTTATTTTAAAACTAATTAAACTAAAAATAATTCTGATTTTTATTAAAAATTTTAATTTTAAATATTTTATAAAATTACATTGTATAGTAAAATTATTTTTAATGCACTCCCTCAAGAAAACACAAAACAACAAAAATTAAAATTAAAAAAAAAAAACAACAACATAATGATAAAACGAAGTAGAGCGCATTTGTTGTAATTGATTTAAGTATTGAAATTTGAGAATTATAAATTTGCAAAATTCCAAAATTGCATGACTGTGAGTAATTAAGCATGTGGATTGATATTTTCTAAGCCTAATTTACATAAACACTACACATATACATATGGTACATACATACATATTAAAAAAATAACTATTATATAACTCTATATGGCACTTTGTTGCAATTATTGATTAACGAAAAATATAAAACACATACACACACATACAAATAACTGCAACTATATGCAAAAAATAAACTAATAAAAACAAAAAGAAAATGCAAAAATAAAATAAAACAAAAAATGAATGTATTAAAACACTACAAATTTATCAATAATTTTAAGTGAATTTAAACGCAAAATTGCAACCAAATGAAACTGTATGTAAATCAATTGATTTCTCCACATTTATTTAGATAAATCAACATAACTAAACGTATATTACTATTCTTACAATTACTATTATTATTATCATTATTATTACCATTATTAAAACAAAATATTTGTGTATTAAAAAAAAGAAAAATTTAAACAAATAAAATTTCATTAACTAAATGTAAATGACAAATTGTTGTATAGAATGTTTGTTTGGATGTTTAGAATTTCCGGCAGGTATAGCTGTCAAATCAGCTGTCAACGTAAATAAAGGTTTTTGACATATAAATTCGATATACCTTATAAAATTACACATAACCAGATAGAGAGAGAGAGAGAGAGACAGACCGCTTCAGGGTTTGTATGCGGAAGGAATTATTGGTTCATACTTTTTTAGAACCGAAAATTGTATCCACGTTACCGATGAACCGCCCAGAGGGCCATAACAAAGCCTCAACATAAAGTTTAACTTTAGAAAAATAACACAGACTAAAAATGTAATTAAATTTTGAGGTTAACACTAAAGGCATACACTAATTAAACTTTAAACTCGTTTCTCTCGAAGCTTTTGAGACTCCCCAATACATCGGTAGCTAATTTTTAACATTTTTTAGTTTGTGATTTTTTCCAGTATTCTTGTAATGTAAATAAATAACTAATAAGAAAGTTGATAGTAAAAATATCAATTTCCTTTTCTGCCTGGATTTCATGCCTTTAGATTCTAGTCCCCTTAAAATCGATTTCGTAATCGATGGATAATCTTTTTGATCGAAGCAACGATATTTTCACAAAAGTTGAAGAGTAAGTTTGTTGCAAAGAAATCATATTTGTTATAAATAGGACCGAACATGTTCATACATGTAACTTTCATGAAGTTATGATAATAAGGGTTAGATACGAGGAAGTTTTTAGCCAGCCTAAAGTTTCAAAATTATCGGAAAGAAAAAAAAACCGAAATAAAAATAAACAATTAAACAAAATCAACTATACTATATCACAAAATATAAATAAATAATCATCGTGGGCGCTATATGAGTACATTTGCATGTACCGTTAGTCGTGCCAAAACTAGTAGGCTAAATTTTTCAATGTCGACACTTCTAATTCTCTCATGGATTATTACTAATCTCCACACATTTCACAGACCATAAGAAAAATTAGCCAAGCAAACCAAATTAAGCATCCGCGTATTTTTGATTTATTCATGGGGAAGCACTCGTAGCAAAGCATGACCATCCTATGACGCATATGTAACGCACTCGATGCTAATTTGCTGTCCATTTTCAAAGTGATTTTGTGTTTTTCTAAGATTTTAACACTGAAATTAACCTAAATTAAGCAGGTACATGTGTATTTTTGTATTTCTAAGTAGAGACGCATGGTGCTTGCTTTGGACTATATTAATGAATGTAGATCTAGGTACATACGAGTACATATATACAATAGGGTGGGTCAAAATCTATTTTTTTTCGGCTTGTTACTCTGAAAAATTGGTTGATAAACAATTCTAACAAAGGATGCTCAAGTACAATATGTATGTGCCCCTAAATATAAAAATTGTAAAATGGTCTCTTTTATTTGAAAAGGTTATTTTTAAAAGCGAAAAAAAATATAAAAAAATTTTAACCACCCTTATAAGCACACATATAGGTATGCGCATGGAAAAGTGCTCTAATTTATATTTTTAAATTTCTAGTGTCAAATAATTGTAATTTTTTGTTGTCTTTTTTTTAAAGTTCAAGCTTTTTTTTTTAACGATAGGTGTATAAAACTCTTGGAAGATTGATGCATTTGACAATTTCACGTCCTCTTTTGAAACCGAAAACACTTATTACTCTAACAAAATCACTAAGAATATATTTTGAATTGGAATATATACCTACATTTATAATTAAATTAAAAATAATTTTTTATCAAACAGAGAATAATATAATAATCAATAATGTAGATTTAACCCTAATGATTTTAGAAAACAATAAATCGAGCCAACTGCTCAACGATCCGTTCGACTATAAACACGGCACTCTTCCTCAAATTTATTTGGGGAAAATTTTGCTTAGGAAAGCGTTAAACACTTAATTTTGTTAGCTAAAAGTACCCGAAGTGGTCCGACACATCGTCATGAAACCTTTGACCGATAGTTGCGATTATTTTCCTATACAAACCTTTGCATTCGCATAGAAGATTTTCTATAGTCTCTTCTTCTCCTCTTGACAGCTTCTACAATAGTCATAGTATGGTGTTCCCAGACGACACATATGTCACTCATGCGAATTGACTGGAATTAATAAAAGTCGTCTCAAGAAATTTATGAGAGAGTAAGGCGCTTTGCCGGTTTGCGAAGGTACTGTTGATTCAAAATTGGGAGTTGGTGATATCACAAAGTACAGGTAATCTCAGCTTTCCATCATTTGGAGTGAGCTTCATTCGCATTATCACTAAGGTAATCAGAGTGCAAGAGTCTTCAAAAGACAGTCACTTCTACTTCTTTGTTACTCTTCGACAGGTCTCCTCTTTTTGGCTTTACTCATTTTTCGAGAATTGGAGCTGCCTAGCTATGACTCAACTAGCTCGTGCACATCATACAAGTATATACATTTTTACAGCCTTTGTCGAGATTTGCCGTTGATTATTGAGAAATTATTCATATACTATATATGTCGATTCATTATAGGTTGCGTGTTGCAAAGTGGTAATAGCATTTTAACAGCAACATTTCTTCTTTCTTTTGGTGCCCTGACCTCGTTGAAAATTTCGCGAATTTGAGTTGAACCATTTGTTTACCTTAAAAGAAATTTTCCGGCATTATATTTTATTTACAAAATAATAATAAAAATATGTACACATATACTCGGATATAAGTTTGTATGCATGTGTGTGTTGAGTGCATCAATTCGGTTTCCTCGGAATCTGATGATTGAATCGCTTTGTCAGACGAAGATTGTTTATTGACTTTGATGAGTTTATATGTTACTTTAGATACAATATTTAAGAAGGTTCGTGGCGAAATTTTCGTTTCGATTTGCCAGACATGGAAGTCAGGTAAACTTTAATTGAAAATGAATTAATGTAGTTAATATGTATGTTGCGTATTTTTTATTTTTTATATTTCCAGTCATTTGCGTCATACTAATTTTCCTTGACTTCTCGTTATTTATTTCTTGGTCGAATTAAATGAGGGAAACTCAAGATTCTACCTTCATGACCGCTAAAATGCGAATATTATTGCTTAGAGCCATTCACGACTAGTTTGTCACGTTCTATAGAGACCATATGACGATTATACTACAGTCGGTTCTGCGTAACCAGAAAGAAGCAGCACTGCCAACTCGGTGAAAAACCACAAATTACCCCGTCACAACAAACGTCAAAAGAGACTGTTGCCGAAGAAATCAAAAAGTCCTCCATGACTTTGGATGACTGTAAAATGAAGTCGCTCGACATAGCTGACACCTTAAAGATATCAAATAAGCACAATATAAGTACATATATCGTTAATGAAAATTTAGGAAAGCTCTGTCAAAAATGGGTTTCATGCAAGCTAGCAGTGCTCACACATGTTCGGATCTGGCCCCACCGACTTTCTGCTGTTCGCAGAGCTCATGAGACTGATTGTTGGACGGAAATCGTAGAGTCTAAGAATTATTTTGAAGCAAACTACCAATCATACTATAAAAATGGTTTCGAAAGGTTAGAGGTCTGTTCATTCTCATTGTAATCAATGTATCGCCTACTAGTTTACTTATCGAATAATGAAAGTTTGAGAGCTATGTGAGAACGTCATGCTGTTGAATAAAATAATTAGCGAAAAAAGAGAACCAACCAAAGGAGTTGAAACTAACTAACTCATAGTCTAGTTTTATAACCAGTGGACATAATTATTATACATACTTGTATGTAAATTCTTCCACACGAACTTCCAAACTTGACCGTGTGGTTTTAAACGATCCACATATACTTGTATGAGTATGTATATCTTTGCTTTAATAAACACTGATGACATTATCAATAAATTCATAGTAAATTTAAGGGATCATCAACTTTATTGGAACAAAATATATGAATATTTTTATATGTACTTTTTATTTGAATTAGTATATAAAAATGTACGCATTTTATCAGCAACAACTTAAAATTAACTACAACTAAATTTATTTTTATGCGATGCCATCTCAATATTATTACCACGAAAATATATATACATATATATATTCAGTTCAACTATATAATTTTTTCTATATTGACGCATATATAAAAAACCACAAATATATACATACATATCTGCACATGGTATATGTAATAATAAATTTTATTAATAATGCGTTCACTGACAGTTCCAATGATAGAGAAAATTTGCCATACTTAAAATCCTTTTTTTTAATTTTCAACAAACGAATAAAAAATATTAAAACAACAACAATAGAAATTACAAAAAATTTTATATATTTTTTTTTGCTTTTAGTTCTAACAAATGTTAAAAATAAAAGTTTTAGAAAGTTTTTTTTTTTGTTTTTAGCTTCAGGAAAACTATGATAATAAATGAAAAAATAATATATACATACAGGTTATGATATTTAATAAAAAAATTAAATTATAATAAAAAAGTTTTGAAAAAAATAAAAAATTCCATACCACCAACAACAGAGAGCTAAAATTTATTGTACTCTTCAGACATTGAGGGACTAGTTTGCGTATATATAGACCAGATAGACAGACATGGCTTAAACGACTCAGCTCATCATGCTGTTCATTGATATATACATATACATTTATC